CCACAAAGGTGTACTTTCTCACTCCCCTTACCAAGTCTCTCCAGCAAGTACATATGCCTTTTAGCATTTTTTTTTTCCCTAAGAGGTTTCGCTGCCTTAAGGCAAGTGCACTCACCAGAGAGAAAGAAAGACAGAGACCAAGACATGAGAGGGAAAGTGAGAAATCATCCTCCAGGGGGGATGTCCACATTGCAATCGCTTTTCCTCCATTCTCCTCTCAGGATTGTGGGCATGTATGCACACATGCTTGGTGTGAATTTCAAGCCACCCAGTCTGGGATTCATTGCAGTCAGCCATGTGGAAGTCTAGCAACATAACTGCTACGCCATCTGCTGGCCCTACTTTTTTTTTTTTTTTTTTTTTTTAAAGAACACAGGATGATGATCAACTTTTGAGCTCAGAGGAGTTTTCTTACTTCTAGATCAGTTATTGCTACTGTGCAATTACCTTCATTAACACAAATTAAACAAATAAATAACAAGAGTGGAGAAAATAATTTATTTGAGACTTAGTACTCTTGTTCTTCATGGAAACTTTTTTCTTAATACAAATAATAGCACAAAAGTTAACTTTGTTCAGGCAGTAGACAAGTACACTTTAACACTAAAATGGGTGAGTTCCCTGTATCAATTTTAGAGAAAAGGAATAATTGATTCTGCTTCTGGTTTGAATTCATAAACCTTCTGATATTCAAAATAAAAAATAAAAAATGATCATGTATGCATTAGACCAGAATTAACAAACTTCCTTGAAGAGAGCAACAGTAAATATTTTAGGCCACACAGTATCCTTTGCAGCTATTCAACTTAGCTGCTGTAGCATAAAAGCAGCCATAGAAAATATGTAAGAGTGGGTATGGCTATACTCCAATAAAATTTCAGTTATTGATACTAAATTTTAAATTTTGAATTTTAAATGATTTCCACATGTCATCGAATATTACTTTTTATCCCCAAATATTTAAAAATGTAAATACCATTCTTAGCTGGTGGGTTATAGAAAACAGCGATGGACTGCACTTGGTTCTCAGGGATAGTTATTCATTTATCCTTGTCTTAATTAAAAACATAGAATATGAGTAAAAATATTATAGTCAATGACACACAAGTACATATGAAAAGTCATAAACTACATATGTGGCTGTTTGAATTCTATGTTTATCTAAGAAAAAAAAGAAAACTTAAAAGTCAAAATATGCGTGTTCCATCCACACAGCTTTTCATACAGGCTAAGGGATGTGTGTAATGTAACATCACATAAAGGTAACGAGCAATGAAATATATAACATAATCTGGTTCCAAGAGTCTGATTTCATACAGAGTTAGGACCATATGCTTATTCTTCAGAAATAAAAATTAACGGTTACTGAGTGAAGTAAATGTTGTACCCAAACCAGCAAAGTCTGCAATGAGGTTTGCTATAAAAGGTGGGCAGAATAAGCTGTGGGAGGAAAAACAAGGAGCATAGATTTATATCTTTAGAAATATTGATCAGTGGTCTTTAAGAGATTAAAATTAAATGAACATAATTCTACGGTCAATGAATCTGCCTACAAATGGGAATAATCATACCAGAGATCACTAAAGTCTTCTAGTGCCATAGTCAACCTGAGAAAAATTATTCTATAACACATCTCAACTGCACTGTAGGTGTCAGAAATACAACATGTCTTGGGGCCAGTAGATGGCATAGTGGTTACATCACTGGACTCCCACATGGCTGATCATGGCTCAAGTCCCAGACCCAGGGGTTTGAAAATCACTCCAAGCACAAGTATATGCACGCCCATGATCCCCCAAAGGAGAAAGAAAGAGAAGGGATTACAGCATGGCCATCTCTTCTTGGGGGTGATTACTCGGTCTCCCTTTCACTGTCTCTGCCTCTCTCTCTTTTCAGAGAGCACACACAGCTTATGGCAAAAACCTCTTTTAAAAAATGGAACCAACAAATGGAATAATGATTACATTGCTGGACTCCCACATAGTCAACCACAGTTCAAGTCCCAGACCTTGTGGCTTAAAACTCAAGGTGGACATATGTGCATGTGTGCCCAAAATTCCAACAGGAGAAAGGAAGAGACAGGACTGCAGCATGGTCATCCCCTTGAGGACTGATTTCTTGCTTTCTGTCTCTCTGTCTTTTCAGTGAATGCATGACCCTACCACAAAAATCACTGTGAAAAAAAATATATATAGGGAACCAGCAGTTAGCGTAATGGCTATGTCGCTGGACTCCCACGTAGTCGACCGCGGTTCGTGTCCTGGACCCGGTGGCTTAAAAACTCACACCGGGCGCGTGTGCGTGCGTGCCCAAGATCCCGAGAGGAGAATGGAGGAGAAGGGATTGCGGCGTGACCATCCCCCCTGGGGGGTGATTTCTCGCTTTCTGTCTCTACTGTCTCTCTCTGTCTGTCTGGCGAGCGCACGCGCCCTATAGTGAAAATCTCTCAAAAAAAATAAATATATATATATACAGCATGTATCTGTCTAGTCTTTTAATGGTAATAATATTGAAAAACAAATGCCAAAATACTAAAATTATTGTTACTTTGTGCAAATTTTTTATAGAAAAATTCTAGAAACTGTATAAATCTAATCTTTAGTTCAATTCAAAAATAATGGTTTATATTAGAACAAAATATGAAAAACAAAAAAAAATCTGTAAAGTAAGAAGTGGTTATTTATTCATTTATTTTTTAAAAGCCCTGCTATCAACATCATTTTTCAGTGGCATTCACACTAGTCCCTGGGGGAAAAAAAAGAATAAATAAATATGAGCCAGCTTAGATATTAAGGGGAAAAGTGACAATTCGTCAAGTCCAAAATCTCCATATACAGGGTGTTTCCAAAATTTTATAGAAAATATGTTGAAATATTATGAAAAATATGTTGAAATATTATGAAAAATTTTATGCATGATTTAAAAAAATGTTTGCACCAAAACAAACTGGCACTTTGATTCCATTTTCTATGAACTATTTGAAATCTCCTTGTATTATCAACATTTGGTTCTTTTTCATTAAAACAGGTATCAGCTTCTTCAAGGTATGAGCTACAGACATATGTCTAAAAGAAAAATCCAAAATTGAGTTCAACATTTAAGCTTACATGAGCCAAATATGATAAGATACTGCTGTATCAAAGCAAAAGAGATGTTGTTTGCTTTTTCACTCGGTCGAAAACCTGAAGTAGAACAAGGGGCAAGGGACAGTTACTGCAAAATCTGGGAGCAATGGTTTTACATCTATTCCTCTGTAAAAGAATTTTACTTTTTCCCATGCAATAAACACATTAATTTATTCAACAAGTATTTTAAGGCTCCTATATTGTGTTAGACACTGCTCTTCATCCCATAGGAGTATAAAAAAAAATTAAAAAGTGCACTGAGAAGTCAGAAGGCAGAAATCTTTGAAATAGGAAAGAAATGGGACAGAGACAACAAGAATGACCTGGCTTTTAATTCTCCTGCACTGATTGAAACTTTCAATATTTAATGAAATGCTTTGGAAAAAAAAAAGTAAAAAAATGCAATCAAGAAAGTAACTAATACAACTCTTTTCCCAGCCCCCTATATCTCACCCTTTCTTAGCTCTGGAGTCTTTGCACAGTATTTTATTATAAAAACCTGGTACTATTACAGCATTTATTATTTATATTTGGATAATTTTTAAATTTCATTGGCATTTCAAGTCACCTAAGTATCAAATTTTCTGTTTGTATTAACATTCCCTTTCTTTAAACTCCTGTCTCATAGAGCAAATCCTATGAGGCTTTTCCCAGTCTGCTTGATTACTACCTATTGAAAGGTCAAGTCTCATAGACACAAACCAGCTACTTCTTTCTTCTTATTATCAAAATATGAACACACTCCAAAACCATCTACCACATACACTTCTTATTATCAAAATATGAACACACTCCAAGTCCATCTACCACATATTTTACAGAAATGGCTGCCAATGACAAACTTTTAAAAAGAAAATATTGGTCTATATTAGAATAATTCTGTACTCTAAATGGTGTTAGGAAACTGATGAAAAGTTATGTGATTTCTGCTCCATGTGTTTTATTCATCTCTGGTTATAGAAGTACGTTTGTTACGTGTGGTCAGGAAGAGAAGATAAATAGAGTTAACCAATAGGGAAAAGGACTTTGAAGATTCCAGTCACTGGAATGCCTCTGTCAGAGTCATTATGAGCTGTAATAAGTGTGCAACTTATACTCTTCTTTTGGAATACCCTCGAAAATTATTTACTATACTATATTATTTAAGTTTAACAAATCTTTTTTTTAATGCAGCCTGCTATATTAAATTAAAAACATTTCAACCAAATTCAGAATCATTCTACATGAAAAGAAAAATATACAACTTTGACAGGCTAGTATTTACAAGGAAGAAAAGGTCTTAGAAAGTTATTTTTCTCCATATTTCATATTAAGCAATGACAACTTTTTGCCAAACTAAATATCTTGTGAATATCTTTGCAAAATATCTTTGTAATAAGGCATTAATATCACATTTTATTTGCAAGTGAAAAAGATGGTTAAACTTCTTTGTTGGAAAATTACTTTAAAACATCACTTTACATGTCATATTTTATTCAGTATAATGCAATTCCATAAAATAAATCTTTCCTGCTTCTGTTGGTAGATATACCAAAAGTATTTCTTTCTAATATAATCCTATTGGCACCTACCCTTTAAGAAGGCTGCAATGAATTCCATTTAGTATTTTTGTTGAGAATCTTGGGTATAAAAAAAAATAATTATGTGGTTTTTGTTTTATTTATAATAATTTATTTCTTATCTAAACACTTATACATACTTGAGTAATAAATACTTGCTACATGATTTGTCATTTTCAAGTAATCCAGGAACAATAAAGATTAAGGAATCATGGCAAAGGTTGGGGGCCAGGTATAGGTGCACAGTCAAATAGATGCTCTGCAGGGCTGACCTACATGGGAAAGTTCCAGGTTCACATCTGTATGCCTCCCTGAGTATACCAGGCATCTGCATAACCATGATCTGGGGCTGGCTGATGTTCAGGGTGATTGTAGTGCCAAAACCTACTCAGTGTGCTGTCTCCGTCTCTGCCTCTCTCTGTCTCTCTAACTCATGGAAGAAATAAATAAATAAACTTCAAAAAAATAGCAACAAGGTCTGTTAGAAATTAGAATTCTAATTTGCTGTAATACTATTCATAAGAATCACATCTCTTTTGTGCAGTAGTTCATCTATTGTGCCCAGCAGAGTACTATGCATATGGTGGCCATCAACACAGAATAATATATATTTTACAAAGAAATGAATATGTACTAAATTGGGATATTCTGAGTTAAATGTCTCTCTCTAAAATTACTTGTTATAGATAGAAATAATTCTCAGAAAAAAAGTATACTTCATTTTCACCTAAGAACAACTTATTAAAAGGTTAACAGCCCAGACTAAGCAAGATACTTGGCATAAGTCATATGCTAAGTCCCTTCAGATTTTGACAGTTGAATGCTTTCAGATCAACTGTCATTTTATCTCCTTTTCTATCAATTTATAGACTAACTTGCAGCTACATTAATACCAATTGTGGGTTTGTAATATTTTATTGAAAGATTTGATATATATTTGTGTGTAGACACACACCTAGAGTAAATTATCTAGATAAGAACCTTGCAAATAAGTCATATTTAATAAATAACATTATCTTAATGCTCATCTAATTTATTCTATTTCCATTTTCAGAAAGAATTTGAGCTACATAATTCGCATGTATTGATTTAAGTAATAAAGAAAAGATTTCATGCTGAATTTACCTGATGACTGTTCTTATTTGAGAGGCCATGAAGAAGTTAGCTCAGCAGTTTGGGTAGTTCAGTTTAGGCCAGACTTTGCTGATCTAACCATTTCATAATTTTTATTACTGCCAGCTTGATTTTAATTTGAACTGAATCTTTCAACATAGGAAGGCCAGTCATACTTACTTTAAAATGAAATACTGAGTGATTCACTGATGAAACATTCTGGGGATTCTAGAAACATCACTGGAAGATTTAATGTACCAAATGAAGGTATAGACCAAGGGTAAATTTATTGTGGCTACTTGATTTGCAACATATGACCCCATAACTCTCTGTGCACACTGCTGCTCTGGTTTTATCTTACCTCCAACACTGGACATTCTAGAGGAGTCCTGATGAGAGCTGGATTTATTACGGTTTTGATTTTTCCGTTTGTTGGCTGCTCTCACAGATCGAAGAAGTACCTCACTCGCCTTGAAGAAGGCCACCATGAACGGTTGTTTTGACTGAGGCCCATGTCTTCCCACAAGACCAGCAGACTTGACGTTGATACTACGTCCTAGAACAAGATGCACAAGCACAGGGTTTACGGAAATGATAGAAAGTTTACCTGCTAAAAAATAAATTTGGAGGGCACTTTGAAAAAAGGGAAAAGTTTCAAAACACTATCAGAATGTTATCTTTACAGGCCAAGAGTCTTCTAAACTTTGAGGTCTACTATTACAGACAATTATCCACACTTGTTTTTTATGTTGCCTCATTCTTCTGCCACAGAACTCCCTCTAGCAGTTTTCACTCACTGGTATCTCCACAGCCCTTACTACAAATGGAAAGGTTTGACTAGCCACCAGCCTGGAAATGTCCACATCAGGTGTCATTTCAAAAATATTAGCTATGGGCTCTTCTCCACTGAATGCTCTGTAATTTTCCTCTAAGTGATAAAAGCTGAATGCCTGGCAGGGCTTTCTACTTTCTCCAGTAGATTTCAAGCCTTTCCAGGGCTAATTAGTGCTGATAGCTCTCCCCTTCACCTCTGGCTGGAGGGCAGCAAACTTTACAAAACTCTTGCTCTACTTAAAACTATTTACAGGTCATTCTGGAAGCTGCACTTAGGGATGAAGGTTGACTCAAAGCTCCAGTTCATTCTCCACTTGAAGTATTTTGAAGTAAACATGGAAATTTCAGTATTCATCCTCTGAGTTTTGATGCATCCGAATGTTTACTGAAAGTATTTCAGATGACGCTGAAACTATTTCAGAAGACACAAATCACGTCTAGAGACTCTCGGAAAAAAAGAAAACAAGTCGGATGTGAGTTCTGAGACTCATCTTTGCTTCTAAACTAGACTATATCTCAAGATCCTGCTGAGCTCAATGAGATGGCTGTATCAGAGAAGGTGCAACCAGAACTTTACAGAGTTAGAAGTCAAGATACTCCAGAGGCTAGACGTCTGTGTTGATTATCCACCCTTGCCATGGTGGGTAATCATATTAATACTTTTCACCAAGTCATGTACATTTGAATTGCTTCCTATGCTATCTATATACTAGATATTTTCTAAGTGGTTTCCATCCATTATTTAATGTGAGTCCACACCTGCCCTGATACCTATTAGGTGTGATTTTATTATACTCTTTGAGTTAATTTGGCCCTTTAATTTAAAAAATCACTTAAAATTATATGTTATACATACATTACAATGAAAACCATTGACTGATACCTGGTTCTGTGAAAATCACCCAAAGAGAATAAACTATTTAAGCTTAAGTTGTAAATTTAGTTGAGAATTACTTAAAACTCTTGCAAAGTTCCTGCTGTAGATACAAAAGTAACCAATCTTTCAAGAGTAATATGTACTATGGTTTGAAATATGTGCATGATTGACTCTAGCTCCCTCCCCCAAGATGTGCATGTTTTCTTAAGATATTTATTCAGTAAAGGCTGTGGGGCAACCTTAGTCCATTATAAGACTTGACCTACCTTAGAAGAAAGAAAAGGAAAACAAGGCCCTGAAACAGCATCAATGGCATTTTAGTAAATAAACCCTTACTCTTAACAAAATTTATTTTGGCAGCATAAACACTTTTGTGTATACTTGTATTGTACAGAGACCTTCTACCGTCAGAAAATGAGACTGTGTCATATGAGGCTGTGCAGCTGTTGGGAGTGACACAGAGGTCCTTTAAATATGGAGGTACTGGCTAAACAAACAAAACAAATGTCCACACCAAACCAGGCAACATAGATGTCTTCAACAATTGTTCTACAGCATACCAGGAAAGCTTGTCCAGTTTCTGCAAGTATTGAACTAGGCATCTGCCTCACAAATGACTATACTCAGGCCTACCAGAGAAAGGACTTACAAATAATCAAAGCAGTAAACCTTAAACAAATAAGCATATAGGTTTCTCTTTTAAATACAAACTTACAGTGGCTCTAAGCCAGAGTCTATATTTCTTAGAAAAACTCTATCACTGGCATAAATGAAAGAGGCAGTTTGATTTGTGGTCAAAGCAGTTTCCATTCTACTTCCACTGTAACAAATGTATTAATTCAGCTCAGACTTCCTCCTTCTGGCAGCCCTTTTGCTGTAAAAAGAGAAATTAGAAGTTCCAGCCAAATACCATACCTTGAACTGACCCACTTCAATACATAAACACTTTTACAACATGTTTATTCAGGTGTAGCACTTGAAATTGGTTTAAGATGTTTCCAGTGACAGAGAGCTCAGCAGAAGGAAAAAAAAAAAAAAGAACTGAGAAACTTAACTGTTATGGAAGAGAATAACTGGTGATCTGTTCTTCAAATTTTTGAGTTTTTTTTTTCTGTCTTGGAGTATGACATAAAAAGAATTCATCAAAGCTTTTATTTTGATGTTTTAATGAAGTGTTAATTTAACAGGAACTAAATTTTTACTTATATACATTGATGACTACAGAAACCATTTTTAATATATGATCTTCCTAATACTGAAATAGGTTGTAGCAAGATGATCACAAATGGAGTACAGTAAAATCAGTTTTCCATTCATTTCAACACACTCTGACCCTTTTATACTTAAAATAAGCACTTAACACAGAGTTCTAAGTTTCCTTTGGTTTGTGAGAGAGCTTCTTTTATTATTCTTCCAAAGACTTTCAATATTTTAATTTTTATCTGTGGAGAAATAATACTGCTCTAAAGATTTATGTTCTGAAAACTGTAAAGATGTGTGTATGGTACAAATATGGGTTTCTTGGATTTTACAAAGGTGGATATTGTGTGTGAGGCAAAGTACCGTTCGAACCAGTGTGAACTCCCTTTAAAATAACTTTTAATATTATTAAGTTTCCTCCTGGTTTCCTTTTTACTTCAGCAATGAGGTGACTATTAAGATTCCATAAGTTAATGCTTGCTCAGTTACACTGGTTCTTGAGCTGCACCATAGAAGTATTAACTATTTGACCTAGTCTTTCAGACACAACGTACCTACATTGATTAAGTGGTTTAAACCTTTTGAATGTCTGAACTGTTGTTTTTGTTAGAAGTGCTGATAAGAACCCAGACTATACTGCAAGTATTAAAAATAATGAATCTTTATAAAATTTATTTAAATATTTTAAAGTGTGTTATTAAATGTACTATATGTTTTAGAAATTACAAATAACTAATTAAAGAAGCCTAACTACCTAAAGCATTTTGAGTTACGAAAACTATATGTGTATGTGTATTACCATAAATTTACTTTTCAGAGGTGATCATTACTTTTCAATGGTTTCTAGTTAAAAATTTTAAAATTTGGAACCAGCAGATGGCATAATGGTTACATCACTGGACTCTCACATGGCCAACCATGGTTTGAGTTTTAAGTCCAGTGGATTAAAAATCACGCTGGGCACATGCACTTGCCCAAAATCCCAAGAGGAGAACAGAGAAGAAGGGACTGTGCTGTGGCCATCCCCTCTGGGGGGCCGACTTCTCACGTTCCCTCTCACTATGTCTGTCTGTCTCTGTCTCTCTCTCTCTCTCTCTGGCAAGTGCACATGCTCTAATGCAAAAGCCTCTCAAAATTGTTTTTAAATTTTATTTATCATTATTTTTGAAAATTTGCTACAGGCATGTGTGTTCACCAAAGAGAAAGAGAGGAAGAGGGAAAGTGAGAAAGCAAGCCATCTTTCTGGACTTGAACCACTGTCGACCAAGTGGGGAGTCCAGTACCTTAACTACCACACGACCAGCTGGGCCTCTAGTTAAAATTTTATACACACACACATACATAGCATAAAAGAGAAATATAAATAAAAATCTGGTTGATTAATGAAAAGAGTATTAATATCATAGGTAATAAGCATTCCAGCATTCCAGCCAGAATACAAATTTTGTCCCCTTAGGTAATAAGCATTCCAGCATTCCAGCCAGAATACAAATTTTGTCACATTAAAATTTAGAAGTGACTAGGCATAACTAGACATTGATAGACAGAGTTCACCAGGACATATTCAAATGAACATTCAGCAACTTCATTGGGCCAAAAGTCAACTGAATGGAAAGGTGAACTCCTAAAGCAAAGTTTCGTAGCAATGTCCCAGGGAGTAGAGGAAGCATTGATTTTATGTCTTTAATTCAGAGTTACTTGGTATGGCCCCAATGACTATATATTTAACTCCTAGAAATGAAGGGATTCAAATTAAATCTGATAAACAATTTTTTTTTTAATTTTTAACTCAAAACTCTGTAAAATACAGTTTGGAACTTGGTTAATAGAATGTGAGGTAAGTAGTGGAAAAAGATTCTCCCCACATCAGAAGAGTGGCTTCTGGGGACAATAGAAACAGATAAAAGAGAAATATAAATAAAAATCTGGTTGATTAATGAAAAGAGTATTAATATCATAGGTAATAAGCATTCCAGCATTCCAGCCAGAATACAAATTTTGTCCCCTTAGAATTTAGAAGTGACTAGGCATAACTAGACATTGATAGACAGAGTTCACCAGGACATATTCAAATGAACATTCAGCAACTTCATTGGGCCAAAAGTCAACTGAATGGAAAGGTGAACTCCTAAAGCAAAGTTTCGTAGCAATGTCCCAGGGAGTAGAGGAAGCATTGATTTTATGTCTTTAATTCAGAGTTACTTGGTATGGCCCCAATGACTATATATTTAACTCCTAGAAATGAAGGGATTCAAATTAAATCTGATAAACAATTTTTTTTTTAATTTTTAACTCAAAACTCTGTAAAATACAGTTTGGAACTTGGTTAATAGAATGTGAGGTAAGTAGTGGAAAAAGATTCTCCCCACATCAGAAGAGTGGCTTCTGGAGACAATAGCAACAGAATGACCTCCAAATTATCTCCTGGATTGGCTTGAGAGGGTGGCATCTGCTCAAAGGTGAGCAGAACAACAAGTGGATGGCACTGGGCATTTTAATGTCCATCAATGACTGTACCAAAGAAAGAGACAGTGCCAGTGATAGGATGAAACAACTCTAAGAGCCAGGAAAACATTCCTTTCTATAATCCTTGTCTGATGTTGCATACACTAGGAAGAGGGCAAGGATGAGATCTGCTAAATGAT